TCATTTTTGAATTTTTAAAATGTTGAAAGAATTTAACATTTAAAATTCAATAAATATACCATTCCTAATTAAGTTACAGTAATATGCATTTCAGATAATTAGGAGAGCAAAGTGTAATAAATAAGTAATAAATACTTTATACAAATAAAGTTTACAGACCACTCCACTCTCCCTGCTGGTATAGTGGATTTCACATTGGGATGTATGTGCAACGTCAGCAGTTCAAAACCACAAGCCACTTCAAGGGAGACAGATGAGGCTCTAAAAAGGTTTACAAGGATTGTGAATTATATAATCCAAATCCAAAGTAGGTAATAGTATCAGAGCTTAAATTGTGAGATTATGGCATGCAGAAGGCCGTGGATGACAGTGGAAGCTCTTAATACATTGGCAGGATCCACACAGGGAATACACTTCTTCTGATTTCCCTCTCACCACAACTGAGGCATGGAATAAGCTGGTGATCAGAGAGTAGTGGAGAGATGACTGTAGTAGGTCAAAATGACACATCTGACTTTTATGGTTCAAAACGTGTCATTTGATCTCCCCTTTGATATACTTTGTGCTTAATCTGGGTTTTAATATTTTCTTTGCTTTTGTTTTATACATTTAGGGGCTTATTTCTGTTGTGTTTTGTCATTGTTGGTAGCGTTTTTGAATCTCTCATATGTTTCTGTTTCTATGTTTGTTATATATTTCTCTTTCTATGTTTGATTCTCTTACTATGTTTTTTAATTTATGAAGCATAGGGTGGGTGACTCTACAGAGAGAATAACCACAATAAGGGTTCCTGGGGCTTCAGCAAGAGAGCTGGGGAAATTAATAGAAAGGGAAGTGAATAGGAAGGAGTTCATGAAGAAAGAACATGTTCTCTACCTGAGTGTACAACACTGCTTGATATGCTTTAACTGCAGAATGGTATGATGTCTGAATTAGGTCCTAATAAAAGGGTGTTAGTTTTAAAGAAATAAAATGTTGTAGAACAAATGTTTAAAACATTTTTATTTTGAATACTTTCAAAAATCGCTTTAATAAAATAATATTGCACATTAAATAAGAAATGTAACATTGATATAATGTTATCTAGTATATATTTCATAATAAAAATTTTAAATTTCTCAATTAAAAACACAGTTTTACAGTGCCTGAAGCCTGAAGGAGTTCTACTCTGCTCTAGATGGTCACTATAAGTCAGAATTCACTTGTGCCAAGGAGTATGTTCCTTGTGTTTCCAATTTGCATCTCATTTTGATTGCTAATGTCCATTAGTTTGTATACTGTATTTTGTTCAATCATATTTAATACTATTGTCAGGAATTGTTCT